ACTTGTATACTTTCTTGGGGAGACCCATCAAAATCCGGTTATTCTTCGTATTATATAGCTTTATTAAAACCCCCTTATGACATTTGCTCCATAGTTTTAAACAAAAACTTCTCGAATGCATGAAATATAAGAGATGCATTTTATCACAACTTCATAAATAGTATTGTCCACAATGGAAAGAAGGACAAGTCGCTGATCAGACAACCCTAAATGAAATAACCAATAAAGGAGTGGACAAATAGGGCCATCCATTAATTGTGATGGCGTCTCTTCCGCATGTGCGTTGTTGGGCCTATCCGGATAGGCGAAAAAAATTTATTTTTCGAATTAAGTATTGTTTTCGTGACTACCAGTAAATCAGTAATATGAGATGTATTCACCCTAATTTCGTTTAAGGTGATGAAGGACTGGTAGAAGAAGAATTTTCCCACAATGATATGAGTTGAGCTGACGCTTCCATTGAATTTCACACAGCCTTGCTTACCCAAAAGTTGTTCTCATCCCGACTGGAGTGGACTGTAGTTTCGACCTCGCATCGGTCTTATCAACACCTTCAGCGGTAGTCGAACCGCGGCAGTGCAGTATGGGAGCTTGACACGCTAGCCACTCGGCCACATTGCCACGAGTGCCCTTGGGTCACAGGACACATGTGAATTTCAAGGAAGGCCAGACCTCTTGTTATATCATATTCTTTTGGTGGAATTGTCGATGAAGCAAACGTATATCTGCTATAACAATCGACTACTATAATTTTATTTTTCGAATCAAGTATTGTTTTCGTGACTACCAGTAAATCAGTAATATGAGATGTAAAGAAGTGAAGGACTGGCTCGAAAGATGAGTAAACGGGAGAATAGTTAAAAGCGGATATGAGGTCGGCATTCAAACGCCCAAATGTAAAGCGTGCTGGCATGCTAGTCCTTGCTCGTCTGTACATCTGGCAAGCACAGTTCCCACGTAGATGCGTTAAGGGTTACCAACAATATGGGCGAAATACTTGTAAATGCCAGAAAAGTGCTAAAGTTGCAAAAGCTAGACACGGTTATTTTTATTGTGGTATGACTTTTCATTTCGCAGGAAAAGTTGGTTGGAAGACATTTATGATGTGGTCTCACCGGAAAGTGAAGAGGATTGCCACGTAGGAAAGTATGTTGTTTTGTGCATAGAAGTCCTTGGCTCATCGTCCTGCGACCCCGATCACGCTGTGCTAAGCTTTCGTCTGTACCGCTTTGACAGACTTAATCAGAGCAAGAATGCATGCTTTAAGAAATAGAGCAAAAATATACTAAACCAAGAGAAATGGTGGCCGGCTGTGACCCTAGTCGCTTTTTTATGCACCTAACTTGGCGATATTAATGGGGCATCCCATGCTTTCGTTGGCTACCTCAAATCAATTCCACATGCTTGCAGATGAATGAAGTTACTACACAAACCGAGATTGCGTTCGGCTGCAGCTATTTCCTTACACAAATAAACTAGCATACGATCCTCTAATATTGATATTGTCAATTGTGTGTATGTAATGCACATTTTATGAGAGGTGTGATAGTCTTAACCCGACTAGGGGCCATTCCAGCCTCTTTCTCTTGTTCAATGGCCCTTCATGCTCTCTCTCTTTTTTCCCCTCCTTAAGCCTATCTAACAGCCAACTCAGTTTTCTACACTTCTTCCCCATATTCAGCACGTTGCTGTTTTGTTGATTTCTTTGGACTTTCTTATCTTACGCTTTGATGCTTCAGTCCCGTTCCCGCAAAACCTTGTTTTGGACTAGTCTGTTGAATGTTCTGTATTAGGCCTGTGTTCGTTAAGTTCAGATCTTCGGAACCGCAGATCTTTACAAGCGGTTTCGTGTTCACATAGACTCTTTTACATGGGGCGGTTGGTCTCCTCCACATAAACATTAACAACTGAGTACAAAACTTCGTAGCGGCCTTGTCTAGAAAAGGGATCCGAAAGTTCTTTAAACGAAGACATCACTGAAGAACGTATTAATTTCTCTTTATACATTATTCTGATGATCCACATTCTCAGAGGGTCATTCAACTTTTTCGCAAGCTGACAGGAGAGCAAAATCAGGAACTTTGTAGAATGGTTCCACTACCTATTCCACTCCAGATACTAATCTCGCCTCATCTTGTAACTGACAATTGAAAATTAAAGTTTGTTTGACCTTGTTTTCGCAACATGGTCATATTGGTAGGAAGACTTATTGGAACGCACCTCCTACGGGGTCCATTGTCTGCATGATCATTTCTAAATTTGAACCGTAGGCGTGGTACAAACCCAAACGTTTCGCCGGCATCGTAGTCGGCATCGTCAGTGACTATCGCCATCCTAAGCACCATACAGCAGCTCGTCAAAGAGACAAGTCAAGCCGATCCTTTAAACAAACGTATGCTAAACAATTATGGTATCTCCCCTTCGGCCCTGGATTATTCGCGTTTCCGGTAGCATACTATCATGT